AAGATTAAGTCTATTAGGGTTATGTTAGCCATTGCAGCATTTCATGATTATGAAATATGGCAAATGGATGTCAAAACCGCTTTCCTTAATGGAAAGTTGGCTGAGGATGTGTACATGAATCAGCCAGAGGGTTTTGTCATGCAGAGTACCCTAATAGAGTATGCAAGCTTGAGAAATCCATTTATGGATTAAAACAAGCATCTCGTAGCTGGAATCTTTGTTTTGATGAGAAGGTAAAAGAGTTTGGCTTCTGAGAAGCGAAGATGAGTCTTGCGTGTATGTCAGAGCTAGTGGGAGTATAGTTAGCTTCTTGGTACTGTATGTGGATGACATACTACTCATAGGAAATGACATCCCAACCTTGCAGGAGGTTAAGTCCTGGCTTGGGAAGTGCTTTGCTATGAAGGACCTAGGGGAGGCTACCTATATCCTAGGGATAAGGATATTAAGAGAAAGGAGTAGAAGACTAATTGGACTTAGTCAGAATCTACTTGGATAAGGTGTTGAAAAGGTTCAACATGGAGAATTCCAAGAAAGGAGATTTACCGATCCAAAGCAATACCAAACTGAGTAAGACTCAGAGTCCGAGTACAGAGGCAGAGATAGCTGAGATGAGCCAATTACCATATGCTTCCGCAGTTGGCTCGATCATGTATGCTATGACTTGTACCCGTCCTGATGTGGCATTTGCTTTGAGCATGGTCAGCAGGTATCAGGGGAACCCTGGCAAGGCTCATTGGACCGCGGTAAAGAACATTCTCAAGTACCTGCGGAGGACTAAGGATTGGATCCTTACCCTTGGTGGCAGTGATGACTTGAAAGTATTAGGGTATAGTGATGCTGGTTTTCAGACTGATAGGGATAATTTCCGCTCTCAGTCGGGCTGGATCTTTACCTTAAATGGAGGGGCAATTTCTTGAAGAGTTCCAAGCAGGAGACGGTGGCTGATTCGACTTGTGAATCAGAGTATATAGCAGCGAGTGAAGCAGCGAAGGAGGCGATATGGCTAAAGAACTTCATCGGAGACCTTGGAGTTGTACCAGCTATTAAGGAACCTATAGAGATTTTCTGTGACAACAATAGTGCGGTTACCTTAGCCAAGGAACCAAGAGATCATGGCAGATCCCGACACATTGACAGAAAATATCACTTCATAAGACACAAGATTGAAGAAGGACTCCTTGTGACAAGGAGGATATCGTCGGATGAGAATCCTGCAGATCCCTTACGAAGGGACTGACGAGGGTTAAGCATTTTCAGCATGCGAGACGCATCGGGCTGAGGGACGATATTAGTTTTACAGATTAGATAGTTTTCCTGAAACTTGTAAAATGTAATCGACGTTTGATGATGAATAAAATTTGTGATTTATTTATGAGTAAAGTGTTACTATCATTGTCAATTATTTACTATTGTTTCAGTTTTGCATGTTTTGACTTCCAGAATAATTAATTTATTCAAACCTCCACAATCGATCATACGTCGGAAGTAGGTATGAATCAAGATTGTCATGAATTGGGTTTGTAGATGCCTTAAAGGTGTTTAGACATGGCAATGGTTGCTGCAACATTCATGAGTACTCATAAGTTATGAGTATTGGTATAAACCCACGCTCACTTGTATCACTTCATGGAATTTATCTCGAGTGATCGTGAGACGATAACATCATATAAATCTTTAAACCTAGAGATATGAGTTGTTACCTATGAGTTGGTTGTGCATTGATTGCACGTAAACGCATCAGTAACTTGATGTTATAAAACGTGCCTTTGTGTACAATTCAATAAGTAGTAGAACAAGCATATCAGTCGAAGTTTATCTGTTCCTTCTAGAAATAGAAGCGATATCTGGGCCCCTCGATGATTTTGTGTTGACCCATGTACCAGGCCTGGTCAGAACTAAACCGATGTGTTCAGTGAAGTTCTTCGTCAAACAAATCGGAAAATCGAGAAACAACTGCTAGACAATAAGCAAGACATAGTTCCATGTGTTTGTCCGGCTGATATCATGAGAACAGAGGATTATGTGATCACTTATCTAAAATGGCGCTTCATAGTTCGCAGAGTCTTCATTGTTCGAGGGAGTTTTCGAGAGCTACGATTGTTGGTTGGTTCCTGAAGTTATAGGCAAATATAGTTATTAGACTTATCCAAGTGGGAGTCTGTTGGATAAGGTGTCTAAGTCCATAACTTATTTGGTATATACTTGACCCGACCGGCATGGTCCATTTGGGTTGCATCTCATCCAAACTATTATGGATAATTTTATGAGAGTTATACACATATGTTTATTATATATATTATGAGTTATAATATATTAATATGAAGTTACGTTATTTAATTAGTTTTAGTCTTAAATTAATTATGAATTAATTTAGAGATTAAAAGGAATACTAATTAAATTATGGGCTATTTGTTTTATATAGTGTGGGCTAATACTCATTTGTTAATGGGCTAGGCTTATGTGGAAGTCCATGGATGATCCATGGAGCTTTTAACCCATGGATCCTTGGAAAAGGAAAAGACATGGGTTATTAGGGTTTCACCCTAACCATGCTCACTATATAAGCATGCTTATGGAGCATGAAATGGAGCCTAAGAAAAAACTAGTGAACTAGTGTGTGTGTGCATGTGTGTGGCCGATTTATACAAGGTGTATACTCTCATCAAAGTTTTCCAAGAGTCTGTGGTGTTTGTGATTCCATTTGAGGCATTCACACTATTGGTGCTTGGCCCTCAAACTCCTTAGAACCAAACTCACCAAAAGGTATGTAATCTCTTCTAACTCTTTTATGTTGAAATGTTCCCCATGCCATGTTAGATAGGTTATAAACCTTGGAAAATTATTATTTTGCATGTATTTAGACAAACATAGATCCAAGGTTTATTAGGGTTGCATGCACACTTAGGAAGTGTTAGATTGCTCAAAACCCAACACATACATGTATCACACAGAAAACAAGTATAAACTATCATATAAACAAATCCTTAGGCACCCGCCCGCTATTAATGGACCTCATCCTGAATATCATACTAGCATATTGTGCCTAAGGCTAACCCCTGGGCCTTCTACTCATAACTACATGGGCTGGCATTGTGGCCTTAGACCCATTCACACAAAGGGAACCTCACCTGCACTGGATGAACTTGCTGATTATCTCACTAGCTGTTGCCCGGCAACTCTCTGAACTCCAGCTCCCCTTGCTCCCCGAACTGCCAATATCAATGCAACGCTAAGTCTAACTGACCCCCGAGAGACAGCCAAGTCAACTCTAGTCAAAGTCGAAGTCCTGGTCAAGGTCAACCTCCCAGGTCAAACCTACTCGTTGAGTCAACCTACTGACTCGTCGAGTTCATATATTCATAGTCCTTCCTTTTGCGTCTTGACTCACCGAGTTAGTCCATGACTCGCTGACTCTATCGATTTCTGAGTCCTGACCTGTCCAACTCACCGAGTCTCCACTCGAATCACTGATTCGAGTCTCAACTTGAAGGGTTTGGGGTTTCGCGACCTGACTCACCGAGTCCAAGAACAGACTCGCCGAGTACAGGGCAATCTTCATCTGACTCGACGAGCTGTTCATCCCACTCGTCGAGTTGCACCTGCTCTTCATGCTACTCGTCGAGTCCACTCAAAGGACTCATCGAGTCCATTCAAATCTCCTTACATGCAGAGGACTTTTGTGTCATGCATGGACTCTAAACTGTAGATCTACCATTCCCAAGCCTATTCCTCACGTAAATTTGCAAACTTTACGTGTAGAGAAGGAGATCTAGGAAAAATACACCATAAACTAGGGTTTAAGGCAAAGAGGCTCCATACTCAACTCAAGGGCAGATACTTTATGCTTCTCAAGACCATAATATGCTTAGATCCAAAGTAGCAACGTCACGTCTGGATCCTAATTCAAATGGATAAAATTATGGCTAAAAAGCCCCAACAACCACACATAGATCTAGGTGCAAAAGAGTCCAAGAACTAGATTATTACCTCCAAATGCTCAGAAATATTCTCACAATTCCAAATCTCTAGTCTTTTCTTGCACCTCCAAGTTCCTTCTTCCTTCTCCCACAGAGGCCTAACATGGTGGAATAGCCATGTTAAGTCACTAACCCTATCAGTGGCTAACTCAATGGGTTGGGAGAACCTAAAAGAGATGATGCTGGAAGAATATTGCCCGAGGGGAGAAGTTCAGAAACTGGAACAAGAACTATGGGAGCATACCTTGGTTGGATCAGACATAGTGACCTACACTGACAGGTTTAGTGACCTGGCAGCACTATGCCCCAGGATGGTTACCCCGGAGAGAAAGAAGATAGAAAGATAAATATGGGGTCTAACTACCACGATCCAAGGAGATGTGTTGTCTTCTAACCCAGCTACATGTGATAGCGTCAAACGCCTGGACCAACGACTCGTCGTCCACCATGGAGTCTACCATGGTGTAGAGGTCCCATTTCCTGATCCATCAAAGGGAGAGGACTATAAATGGAAGTCGGGGAACAAGAGGAAGAAGAAGCGAACAACACATGAACCCCCACAAGAGCAACAAACGAGTACCATGTACGCCGCTACAACGCCTGTTGCTCCATGTAAAACACCGTTTATTTATTAAATAAATAAATTAATTAATGAACCAATGGTAGCCCTAAAATAAATAATTATATATCAAAATATGGTCTCGAGGAGCTAACTATCACAATTTTAGAAGTTCGGGGTTAAAAGTGTATGTTCGGAGTGGTTTGTAAATACTCATGATGACTGGGACTAATTGGTAATTATTAGGACTTAATATGGAAGGAATTATGGAAGCAAGGGCTGAAAGGTAAAATTCAGACTTCAATTGTAAAGGATTCCGGAAGCAGGGTTCAAATGGTAAATTACAGATCATAGTTGAAAAGAATTGTATAGAGAGGGGCTATTTCTGCCATTATGGAAATAAGGCTTTATGGCATCAGGTATATAAGCTTAGCATTATCGGCTCTAACCCTAACCTACTAATGTATGATGCAGCCGCCACTGTCACTTACTCCACCTCCGTCGTCGCTCCTACCTCCGACCACCCAACACTGTCAAACAATCCATGTCACTGATTCATGGCCTCCATCCGCCGCCTTTACCGGGAACAAGAATCGATAGGGTGAATGACCGAGATTTGCTGCATTATTGCGTTGAGATGGTGAAGTTATAGCTGCCGTTGTTTGCCATCTCATGTCACCTCTCTTCTCTATTTCTTGCTGCCAGCATTGCTTCGTTCATGGTGGTCTCCGTATCTCAGTCACGACCACTGTCGCTGCATGGCTCGAATCTGTTACTCGAGTCGCTGCTTCAGCTATTGCAGACTGCTGTCGTGGAGCCGCTATCATCGCAAATCACCACAACTTGCCGCTGTAACAGCCCAAAATCCAGGTACCCTTCTATCTAGCCCTTCATCTTTGATTTGTTCCATTTAGGGTTTGCATGTAAGGCGAGTACGCTGGGCGTACAAGGAGTACACTGCGCCTACTCACACGCTTCATTTGGACGCGTTCACCCTCGGGTACGCTGGGCGTAACCGGTCCAGACCTAAAAACCGTAGTTAATTCGGAGGGCTATAAAAGGAATGTGTGGCTCAACTCCTCAACCACCCTCCCTCATAAAGAAACCCTAAAGAGAGTGTGCATTCATTCTTAGGCCATTTGTGAGTATTCTAAGCTTGGTGGTGCCATTTCAAGGTAGCAAAGGAGAAGAAGAGCTCATTGGGAAGGATAGAAGTGGTGTTCAAGTGTGGATCTGAGCTTTTCAAAGGTTGAAGCTTCATTATAAGGAAAAAAGTTCGGATGTTGAAATTTAGTTCATGTAATATGCTTCAAGTACTATTTTCTAGTGTTCTACTCCCAAAGGTGGAGACGTTTTGAGAAAATGGTCTCCATAAGCTTAGATCCATCATATTTCTGGTCTATTGGAGTTGTAGACTCATAAAAATGATATCTTGGACGTGAATGTTGCACCATGCATGAGATCTAGGTCCTTGAGTTGGAATAGAATGATGTTAAGAAGTGTTGGAGCCTTTAAAGGCATGCCAAGGCTTAAAGGTCTCGACTTTATGGGTATAGATGCATAAATAAAGCCGGATCTAGAAGTTCGAGTATTGGCTTAACCGATTAAGACCAAAAATGATGTATGCTAAAGTTTGATGGTTACGCTGGGCGTAACTCCCAGTATGGGCAGCGTACTAGGTGGAAACCCCGATCCATGGGTTGGCGATGTACGCCCCGCGTACTCAAAAGGTTGACTTTTGTTGACTTTTAGGGTTTTGGTCAACATGAAGACTTTGAGTCCAGGGAGGGTAAAATGGTCTTTTACCCTCGGAGGAATGATGATATGGGGTAAAGTCTAGTTGTGGAAGTCTTTAATAATGAAAATGATATTTATTATGTTTAGGCGAGGTAGAGTCGTCGTTGGGATTTGGAGATAGCAAGTATACGAGATTCTAGACTTTCCACGAGGTGAGTTTTCTCACTATATTGTACCCGGAAGGGTTTTTATTGTGTGACCAGAAGGTCGGATATGTTATGAGTTATATGCATTGTATATGATAAGTCAATCTTTCATATGTGCTATGTATGATATGCTTGATATGGGCCGGAAGGCGTATATGTTATGGGCCGGAAGGCGTTGTGATGTGCATCGTAAGGTTGACACAGGTAGGACCGGAAGGTTTACTGAGTCGGGACGGAAGTCCCCTGAGACACATGGACCGGAAGGTCGGGGCCTGGAAAGGCGTATGTGCGTAAGTAGTATTTTGGGGAACTCACTAAGCATTTATGCTTACAGTTGTTGTGTGATGTGTTTCAGGTACTAGCGAGGACCGTGGGAAGGCGTCGGCGTGATTGTACACACTGACGGAGGAACTGTTTTTATGATCATGGGATGTATTTTGTTATGATAACATTGTTCACGTATGAATTTGGAATATTAAACGATGTTTTTGAAGTTTGCAAAAGTGAAAAATTTGTTTTAAAATTTACGTTGTTACAAGTTGGTATCAGAGCCTTGGTTTGAGGGATTCGGATACACTCTCGGGCGTAACTGAACTCAAACCGGGGATTTGAGGGGAAAAAAAATTTAATTAATAAAAGCACTAAAAATTTGATAAGAGATTTCGTAACAACCAAAGGAGAAGCAGTGTGTATGGTCAGCCAACGCCCGAACGGTAAAATCCCCAAAATACCCTTACAATATGTGTTATGAGATATGTTATGATATGATACGCATGCTAGTAGACTAGGTATTCATATTAGGACTAGAGTGGCCTGATTTGTGATGCCTTAGTCTAGGGGAACCTGCTGCTATGAGATGCTTTGAGAGCGAGTGGGTAGCCAGTGCATAGCAAGGATAGAGTACTCATAATCCGGGGTTTAAGGAGGAGGACTTGGGGTGAATGCTGATGCGGTGTATTTGGTAGTATTGGGCCCGTACTACTGAAGACACCGGGTCAGTGGGCAACCCAAGTAAGAATCCTTGGGTATCGGAGACCGAGTAAGGTTGCGTTATCGAGTGCGATTATGCTCGATGGAGTCTCTGATATTTTTATGTTGTATTTCAGAGACATTATGGTTGGACCACGCCACAGACCTGGTAGCTTCGTCAGATGATTCACAAGGAGGTGGCTGCGGCGATCCGGGCCGAGATTCCGGAGATGTTTGGGTCTATCAAGACCACACTGATGGAGACTTTTGATGAGCGGTACGCCGCGGTGACTGAGGCCGCAGCTGCTGCAGCTACCGCAACTGTGGCCGCTACCAGACCACAGGGATTGCTGCGATGAGATGGATTGCTGATATTGAGGGATGCTTCTACACTTGTTCATGTCCGGAGCATCTGAGGGTACGGTTCGCTTTGAACCAGCTCTTCCTGGGAGCAAAGGATTGGTGGAAGTTCATGACGGTGAACTTCACTCTTGCGGAGATTTCAGCCATGACTTGGGAGAGATTTACCTCTATGTTCAGAGACGAGTATGTTCCCCCGGAAGAGAGGGAATAGTTGGTTCAGGAGTTCTTGACCCTCAAGCAGGGTAATGATTCGGTTACTATGATTACTCGGAAGTTTCATGTGAGGGCGATGTTTTGCCCTGAGCAGGTGTCCACTGAACAGGCTCGGATGAGTCGATATTTAGGTGTACTGAGGAGGGATATTCGGGAGTTTGTATCGAACTCGTCATACCTGACCTTTGCTGAGCTCCAGGAAAATGCTAGGAAGAGATAGATCGAGTTGGAGACCCAGGCCAGGGAGGAGGCCGAGTCTCAGCTGGTGGATCGGCGGTCGGCTCAGTCCCAGCCGGCAGCCAAGCGGACCAAGTCCGCTGATTCGAGGATGGGAGGTCAGAAGGGTCGCACTTGTGGAAAGTACGGAAAGGGTCATGAGGGGGCATGTCGATCAGGTGCTTACTACAAGTGTGGCAAGGAGGGGCATATTGCTAGGGATTTCCCCAAGGGATTTATGGTTTGCTTTCATTGCAACTAGACCGGCCATCGGAAGGTCGAGTGCCCCCAGCTTCACCATGGATCTGCGCCTGCTGCTAGGGTTACCGAGACTCGGCCGGTGAAAGCAAAGGCTCCGAAGGCTCGTGGGAGAGCTTTTCAGTTGACTGTAGAGGAGGTCCGCGCGGCGCCCGATGTCGTAGCTGGTATGTATTCTTTCGTGTATTTACTTTTATGCTGAGATATTATGCTTATATTATGATATGCGTAGGTACTTTTCTTGTGAATTCTCTACCTGCCTTGGTATTATTTGACTCAGGTGCGAGTCGGTCTTTTGTATCTTTGACTTTTAGCCAGCACATCGGTATTGATCGAGAGGTGATGAGTCGACCCCTACGGGTTTCTATAGCGGATGAGAAAGCAGTATACGCCACTGACGTGATTCGAGGATGTGTGCTCGAGATTTGTGGAGTCAAGTTCCCTATTGACTTGATTCCTATAGCGATGGGGGATGTCTGCGTCATTGTGGGCATGGACTGGTTGAGTAAGTTTGGGGTAGTCATTGACTACGAGAGACAGCTGGTGACTATACGAGACCCTAGTGGGGGAGTGCTTACTGTGTATGGCGAGGGGACCCGGTGTGGGTGAGCGTTTTGTTCGGCTGCCAGGGCGAGACATAGTTTGCAACAAGGCTGCAGTGGATTCATAGCCTATGTGATGGACACTTGAGTGGCTGCGGAAAGGCCAATTTCGGTTGACAAGGTTCCAGTAGTATGCGAGTTTTCGGATGTGCTCCCCGAGGACTTACCAGGTGTGCCTCCGGAAAGGCAAGTGGAGTTTCGAATCGATCTGGTTCCGGGAGCGGCGCCCATCGCCAAGGCGCCTTATCGCCTCGCTCCACCAGAAATGCAGGAGTTATCCTCGCAGCTTCAGGAGCTGTTGGGAAAGGGGTTTATTCGACCGAGTAGCTCACCTTGGGGAGCGCCAATTCTATTTGTCAAGAAAAAGGATGGTTCACACAGATGTGTATCGATTACCGGGAGTTGAACAAGTTGACGGTTAAGAACCGGTATCCGTTACCTAGGATCGATGATCTATTCGATCAGTTGCAGGGGGCATCTTGGTTCTCTAAGATAGACTTGAGGTCGGGTTATCATCAGATGAGGGTTTGGGATGAAGATATTCAGAAGACTGCATTCAAAACTCGTTATGGACATTACGAGTTTGTGTTGATGCCTTTTGGGCTCACCAATGCCCCGAATGCGTTCATGGATCTTATGAATAGGGTGTGCAAGCCGATGCTGGATCGGTCGGTGATCATATTCATTGATGATATTTTGGTATATTCGAGGTCTAGGGAGCAGCATGAGGAGCATTTGAGAGAAATTCTTGGAGTATTGAGATCGGAGAGGCTGTATGCCAAATTCTCCAAGTGTGATTTCTGGTTACGAGAGGTCCAGTTCCTAGGGAACCTTGTTAACCAGAAAGGCATATTGGTCGATCCGGCCAAGATCGAGGCGGTAATGAGATGGGATGTGCCGAGATCGCCCACTGAGATCAGGAGCTTTCTGGGATTGGTCGGCTATTATCGAAGGTTTATCAAGGATTTCTCCAAGATCGTCGTGCCACTTACTAAGATGACCCGGAAGGGTGTTGCATTTTCATGGGGACCGAAGCAGCAGTCCTCATTCAAGACCCTTCGTCAGAAATTGTGCGAGGCCCTGGTGCTTGTACTCCCGGAAGAGATGGAGGATTTTGTGGTATACTGTGATGCATCTATATCTGGATTAGGGGCGGTGCTTATGCAGAAGGGATACGTTATAGCGTATGCTTCGAGGCAGTTGAAGCCTCATGAGTCGAGATATCCCAGCCACGACCTGGAATTGGGGGTTGTGGTGTTTGCCCTCAAGATCTGGCGGCACTATCTTTATG